GTATGCTCATTAGAGAGAGAGAGAAAGAGACAGTGAGAGGGAAAGCAAGAAATCACCCTACAGGGGAATGGCCCCCCACAATCCCTTCTCCTCCATTCTCCTCCCGGGACCTTGGGCACCCACACATATGCACCTGGTGTGATTTTCAAGCCACCGGATTCGGACTCGAACCAGTCTGCCATGTGGGAGTCCAGCAATGTAACCGCTATGCCATCTGCTGGAAGGGTTCTCTAACTTTCAAAAACTGCTAAGAGGTGGATAGTTTCTGAGGCTCTAATGTCATGACCTTGGTTGGAAGGAAGAACGAGACCTAGGGGCACAGAATGTGGTGGTCTCGGCCCTAAGCACCAGGAATACCTGCTCAGGTCTCAGGACTTACTGCCTCTCCCGCCCTCCTGCTGGGGCAGTGGGCAAGACAGTCCCCAGGCAGAGCCTTGTTGGCTGCAGCCCTGGAGGACACCAACAGCCCTCCCAAGGACTACGCCCAAAGGCAGACCAAAGGCTCGGGCTAGGGCCCAGGGCTCTCGGCAGCTCCTGGGGTATTTGCACAAAGAAGTGCTACTGTCTCCTGGCTTCGACCCTGTAAGTTACGATCTCAAAAAGGAAGCCAGAGAGGAGACGGAGGGCAGGTGTTCAGATTTCTGCCAGTATGATGCCAGCTGGCCGCTCGCATGCTTCTGCAGTGCCGCCCACCGCCAGAGCCACCACAGGCTCATCTGGGAGGCTTCCCCCCACCTCCCTCCGCCGTCCAGTGACGTCTGCTGGGCCTGCCGCTTGCCTGGGTCCCCTTCCCACCGTATGGCAGCTGGACAGGGGTCTCCCAAACACTGGTGACTTCCGTCTCAGCCCCTCCTAGCCCTGGTTCTAGCAGAGGGAACAGCTGGTCACTTGTGCGAAAGCCCACCGTCTATCAGAACACCTTATTATGTACCATCTCTTCTCTGTCTAATTAATCCCGATGCCTTTATCTTCTCTTCAAGGGACAATCGCAATCCCCACCTCACAACACAGCCTTTTAATCATCTTTACGGGTTTCCTCTGAACCCTCTCCAAGTCTGAAGGAGCGCGGAGTAAGGTCCTGAAGATTCGTTTTCTGTTGCGACAAAAGAGACAGGAGGGAGAAGAAAATCTTTGTTGACCAGAAAAGGGGAATAATGAAGCTAAATGCGTGGAATCAACTAGATTTCTCTAGAGAAAATGGCCTTGGCCACTCCGCCTTTGTTAAGATGAGATGCAAGAAGCAAGAGGGGCCGTACCACCTGCTCCGCGAGCACAGTGCAGCCAGTTTCAGCATCGCCGGGTTAATGGGAAGTTATTAGTAACTGAAGACGACGAAGTTCGGCAGGCGGAGCTGGGAAAGAAAGCACGTCCTGATGACAGCATCGGTGCCACTGGACATCCCGGGAGCTGCACGCGGTGGCCGCTAAGGGCACGCCCCATAGCGGGGACAGATGCCGAGTCTCAGGCGTGGGACCCAGACCCAGGTGTGCCCCTGCAGGATGGGGGAATGTGGCTTTAGCAGCCACACAAGGAGACGGAAGGTTTTCCACTGTGTGAAGCTCTCCGCTTTACAGTGTCTACCTGTTCACCTATAGCTGGGCTGCCAATAGGTCACGTGCTCCTGTCAGGGACTGGGCAGGGGCAGGGCTGGATACGTAAGGACCCACATGTGGAAAAGGAGTGAGCTTTGTTCTGTTGTCTGACAAGCGGACCAGGGTCAGAGGTACAGAGACAGACTTGAGCCAACACAGGGAACGGCTTTCTACCACGACACAGAAGCCGCATTCTGTGCATCGGCCTGTGCCAGGCCCTCCCGAGGGGCAGACTCACTCCAGGCTGGTGATGTCACCCGATGCGTCCGTGGGAGGGCCAGGATGCAAACCCAGTGACCTGAAAGGCTGTGCTCTCTCCACCCTGGTGTGCTGCCTCCCAGAGCCTAACCAAGACGTCTGTGCGAAAACAAGTACTTTCATGGCCGTGGGGACAGCCTGCCATTAGTGGGAAAGAGAAGCCAGGCGGGCACTGGATGAAATGTTGCAGAGACACCTGAGCACACCCAGGAGCTAGGCCGGCAGCCTGGAGGCCTCCGCCAACACAGAGCAGGGCCTGCCTCAGCCCCTGAGAGGAGTTACAGTCCTCGCCTGGCCTCCTGCCATCCCAGTCCCAGGGACCTCTGCTAAGCTGACAGTGCGAGGTGCTGGAGAGCCCCAGCCTCCCCAGCACCAGCCACCTCTGGGAGTCCTCAGGCAGCGGCTCCTACGGCTTCCCCCTGCTCTGGCGGGGACGCGCCCTCCTGATGCGCACAGGAAGCAACCCGGACGCGACCTGCCCACAGTCCTGGTCGGCTACTCTAGTGCATCCGGGCTGACACCTCCGAGTTCCTCTGCTCCCGTCCTCCCACCCAGCAGTTCCCGCTCAAGTCGGGAGCAGTTTCTGTTGGCATGGACACTTGGGTTGGTGACAAATGTGTTTATTTCCATGGCCCTGGCCAGCACTCTGAGCTCCGGACTGCTTCTGCCCTGAGCACGCTGGCGGCCTGCCAGCCGGACCGAGGGGTCCCGGGGACACATTCTGAGTCCAGCACTTTCCAAAATGACCGTGGCATGTTCCCACATGCTAGGCTCACTGTCCAGTGTGGCTCTGACCCCTGGGAGGCCCTGCCCCCGGCTATCGATGACGTCAGGGACGGCTGAGGCGCGAGGCCCTGGCCAGACTGCGTGTCTGTTCGCACGGTGCTGCCCACTCCCCTGTCTCCTGAGCCGAGAGGACCGCCTCCCACTGGCACGCAGACCCTTCCTTTCCTGTTTGATTTCTAAGATAGCGGTGAGGGCTGGAAGGCTTAGAGCTGGCACAGAGCAGAGGGAAGGGAGACGTCATGGGAAGCAGCCTATTTTTGAGAACTGTGAGCTGACGCCAGGAGATTAGGCTCTGTTTGTCTTGGCTGATGGGCTTGTTTTTTAAAAAAAGAAAGAAAACCTCACAGTCACGCACGTGTGCACGCACACGCAGACGCAGACACAGAGCAGTTCTGCTGTCTGGGTCTGCTCCGGCTGTCTGGAAGCATCTTGGCTTTGTTAAACCCACGCCCTGCTGCCAGGAGCCTGGCTCTGTCCAGAGCAAACGCCCCCGTCCGCAGGAATTTTGACGCTGACACAGCACAATGCCTCAAGAGGCCCTCGGTCTGTGGACTGACCTCAGGTCCCTGTGCGTCTGGGTAGTGCCTGGCAGCCCTCCTGTGGCTGGGAAGGGGGGTGAGTGACGACACAGCCAAGGGAGGCTGGGTCCATGGAGGGTGGCACATGGATGCCTGGGCCTGCTGAGCTGAGGCAAGCCTGGTCTGATGCCGGTGTCAAGAGTGAGCTCCAGGGGGAACCAGCAGTTAGCGTAATGGCTATGTCGCTGGACTCCCACGTAGTCGACCGCGGTTCGTGTCCCGGACCCGGTGGCTTAAAACTCACGCCAGGCGCGTGTGCGTGAGTGCCCAAGATCCCGAGAGGAGAATGGAGGAGAGGGGATTGCGGCGTGACCGGGGGGGATTTCTCGCTTTCTGTCTCTATGTCTCTCTCTGTCTGGCTCTGCCTCTCCCGGCCGGTCTGGCGAGCGCCCGCGCCCGCCAGTGAAAATCTCTAAAAAAAAAAAAAAAAAAAAAAAGAGTGAGCTCCAGGAACGAGGGAGAGGCCATGGGGGCTCCTCCCTGGGGCTGGGTGGAGGGGATGCGTCGAGCTTTAAGAGCGGTCTTGTGCCGTGGTCCACTGTTGGTCTCATGCTAAAAGCTGCAGGCTCTTCTGAGCAGGGCCCACTGCTCCTGCCCCTCTGTGCCCAGGGCTGTGCTCTGTGTCAGCCCAGAGCAGGCCTCGCCTGTCCTCACCCCCAGGAGCTGACGGCTTCGGGCAGGAAGAGGGGAGAGGGCTAAGCAGCAGCTGCCAGGGGTGTGCATCATGAGGGGCAGGACTTTGTGTGAGACCCTCCACAGGTGGCAAGTGCGTGTCCTTAGCAGGGGAGGGTGGCAGGCAGGGGCCAGGCCTGCCAGCGGGCGCAGACAGAAGGAGCAGCAGCAGGTGTGCTGGGCACCAGGCCAGGCCGCCAAGTAAGCCTAGTCTAGACCTGGGCACCGAGCGCCCTGCGTCCCGCTGACAGAGCAGGGCTCTGCTCACAGCAGCCTCTCCCCAGCCTCGGCCCCTGCTTCTCTGGCAGTGCTGGCCATTCTCTGAAGAGCACAGCGCTCCGAGGCTGGGCGTGCTCGGCTCTGGTCACTGGCTCTGGCCTGAGGCAGGGCCCTGGCTCTAGTCCGAGGGCGGGGCTGCAGGCCTAGCCCCCTTTCTGCCAAGCTCCCGGATCTGTGGGGAGGCCAGTTGGCAAGAGCGATTCAGGACCTGGCGTGTGAGCAGCCCCAGCCTGGGAATTCTCAGCATCAAAAAAAAAAAAAGAAAGAAAGAAAGAAAGAAAGAAAGAGAGAGAGAAAGAAAGAAAGAGAGAGAAAGAAAGGAAGCTCAGGCTCTAGCCCAGCCTTGCGGCACAAGGAGAGGAGCTCCTTGGCACGGGTGAGGTTGAAGAGGCCCTGCAGGAGAACGCCACGATGCGACGTGTGACACGAGGGGCCAGAGCGGCACAGCATGTGGTCTACACGGCACAGCCACCACATTCCCAGTAGCACAGAAAGAGGTCCGAGAGAAAACGCATTCAGACGCGGGCCGTGTGTGGGTTACAGACACTGATCAGCTCCCCTCTGTGCTCCCGTTTTCTCCCACGGGCGTGTGTTCTGCGACTGGCACTTTACAACCGAGCAAAGGGAAACGTGAAAGAAAGGCGGTGCTACCGACCCGCCTGTCCCTGGGGACGGGGTGGGGTGCGGGCCTACGTGGCGGCAGTGCCCCCCAGGCTCACGCGCCTTACTGCCTTATCCCCAAGTGGAGTCCTGCCCCGGCGTGCAGGGGTGGCGCTGCCTGCAGGCCCTGCTCCATGCTCAGCCAGCACGACCGCCAGATGAGCACCCTCCTCACCTGCAGCAGCTCCAGGTCAGACGGGTCCTCCTGCCCGGGCACCATCTCCGTTAACATCTCAGACATGACTTTCGTGTTCCCTCGGACAACGTCCAGTTCACTCCGCAGCCTGGCGATCTGTTGGGCCCGCGGGGAGAGAGGCAGGAAGGGGTCAGTCACCTGGCACTTGCACTCTCAGCTCTAGCTCGCTCCCCAGGCGAGGACAGTCCCGTTCCCTGTGAAGTCTAGGCCGCCCTGGAACGTGTGCTATGGTTATGGGGGCCGGGGGCGAGGCCATCCCGGAGGGCCCCGGTCACCGGCAGTCTGCCACTGGTGCCTGTCTGCCCACAGCATGACGCAGCGCTGTGTGGTGAAGTCTGGGTTGGAGTGAACTGAGCGGGTTTCAGCCTCAGCTCTCCCACCATAGGACCTGGAGACAGAACCGAACCTCTCAGGGCCTCCGTTTCTGCTCTTTAAAATCAGGGTGTGGAAGGACAGGATCCCCAAGACCCCTTCAGAGCTGAGATCCACGATCTACTTACAGACTGCCCCGGGAGCTCAGGACTCTAAACCTGCAGCCCTCTGAGTGGCTGGCCAGCGTGAGTAATACGGCAAGGACGAGGGAGGACAACGAGATGGCCGTAGTGGAGATGCCCACCAGCACCCCCAGAGCCTGGCCCTGAGCCCGCTCCTCGGGACGCTGTTCTGAGCAGCCCGCAGCCCCTGCCCGCCACGCCCCGGGCTGTGCCGTGTCTGCCTAGGGCAGGCCTCATCATCCCTCACACTATAGGAGCCCACGGCTTCAGAGTGGGGGGCACTAAGCAGCAGCTGGGGGCCCTGGGAGTGACCCTCCACAGGCAGCAAGTATGTGCCCATGGCAGGGGAGAGTGGCACTGGGGGCCTCAGTGAGCACCTTCTCCCCCCGCAGGAGCAGGAGCACCACACCGTCCACTTCAAATCAGCTCCTGCACTCTCTGACCCCCTCGAGGCCTGCTTCCCAAAGTGAGGCTTCAGGGAGTGATCTGCATAGAAAGGTCGGCCTGATTGGGGTCCTGGACCTGGCAACTTGCTTCCTCACTTTGCCCCTCTCTCTGTGTCTCTCTGGTCAAATTAAAAAATAATAATAATAAAGAAAATAAAATATTCTTTTTAAGAGAGTTTTTAAAAAGAATTATTTTATTAAACTTTACCTATTTAGTTATTCACTCCAACTTGACCAGACAGAGAGAGAGCGAAAGAGAGAGAGAGAAAGTGAGAAAGCAAGCTGCCAGATCCGGCATTTGAACCGTGGTCAGCCGTGTGGGAGCTCAACACCCTTAACCACCACACCACCTGCTGGCTCCAAGAGAGAGATTTTTGCAATAGGGAGTGCACACTTGCCAGAGAGAGACAGAGAGACAGAGAGACAAAAAACAAGAAATCGCCCTCCAGGAGGGATGGCCATGCCACAGTCCTTTCTACTCCCTGCTCCTCTCAGAATCTTGGGCACTCTCACATGCACCCTGTGTGAGTTTTAAGCCAGCGGGTCCAGGGCTTGAACCATGGTTGACTACGTGGGAGTCCAACAACATAATCATGCGACCTGCTGGTCCCTGAATAAATAATTCTTAAGAAACTAAAAAATCTCAGGGCTAGCAGGTAGTGTGCTGGTTGAGGCACTGGACTTCCACATGACCAATTGTGGCTCGGATCCCTGGCCGAGAGGCTTGAAGATCATGCCAGGCGTGTGTGCATGCGTGCTCAAAGTCCTGAGAGGGGAACGGAAGAGAAGGGATTATGGCGTGATCACCCCCCAGTGGGTGGTTTCTCGCCTTCTCTCGGTCTCTCCAGCAAGCCCATGCACCCTGTAGCAAAAATTTTTTACACAGCGAGCACAGGGCCCCTACAGCAGCAGCCCTGTCCAGGGAAACCTGCACCTCTCAGCATCAGTCTCCCCATGGGGCTGCTGGGCAGTGCCCGCAAGATGCCCGGCACACAGGTGTGCCCTCTAGCCTACAAGCATGGCTCCCTTCCCTGCTCATGCACCCACAGAGCTAGACCATGCTGCTGCTCTTCTCGCACTTCCCCACTCCTATCCCCGGGGAAACCCCCACACACGAGACAGGAGCGACCACTCCCTCCAGGCCCCCACCTATCCTGTCATCCCCTGGAGCAGCACCTGACCAACCGACCCGACCCGACCTGACCGCAGCCTCCTGCACTGACGCTCTGAGCTGCCCCTCAGCCCCTGGGGGAGGGGCTAGCTGGTGAGCTCTGCACCCTCAGCACAGGGACAGACTTTCACCAATGGTCAGCCAGGGAGATGGGCTGGGTCCGGAGAGGCCCTTGTCGGCCTCTGGTTGTGCCTGGCCCGTGGCCAGAGGTCTCCTCCAGGGTCCTGGCTAGAAGTTCTCCGGCCAGGGAGGCCCAGGAATGCTGTCAGTGAGTACATGGCTTGAGGCCCTGCGTGCTCGGGCCAGGCTGAGCACCACCTGCCTGGCTCTGCTCCTGCACGCCCCACAGCCTCCCACCCACCCTGGACACTCCTCCCGCTGTCCTGCTGCTGGGAGAGCCAGCAGAGGGGCTCAGTGCCAGCCGCTTTCTGGCACAGCCTGCCTTCCCAGGGAGCAGAGGGGCCCACACTGCCCACGGAGCAGCTCTTCCCCACGCTCCTCTCCTGGGAGGCCTGGCAGGTATTTGGTATGGGTAAGGAGGAGGGCCGCACAGTCTTGCAGCTGTGGGTGTGGCCTCCTCCCCTGGGGCAAACAGCGCTCCTGGCTACCATGAGAACCCCTCTGTCTACCTGGCAGACCCGCTGCCACGTGGGGTCTGAGGGAGGGACTACTGCCCATCCTACTGAAAGGAGACTGAGGCTGAGCACCCTGACTGAAGCCTCCGGCGACAGTGGGGTCAGGGTGGCTCGAGTTCAGCCTGTGCGACTTGCAGTCCTCCTGCTGCTCACACTGCGTCCCCACCTCCGAGCCGCAGAGAAGGCAAGGACACGCCGGCCGGCACGACCTCACCACACCTGCACGCCACTGCTTCACCCTCCTCTTCAGTGAGTTTCCGCGATAGCAATGCCATGGCGAGTAGAAAGTCAGCATTTCAAAATGGAAACGCTAGATAGAGTTTTTTTCAAGTCTAACCAGCTTCAAATTTTCTTAATTGCCAGAGGGTGTGTGCTTTCCCCAGAGACAGGCAGTGAGAGAGAGAAAGCCCCCTCCAGCGGGCGTGGCCACACCACAATCCCTCCTCCATTTCCTCCCCCTGCTGGGGTTCTGGGCAGCGCGCACTCACGCCCAGCCTGCTGTCCGGCTGCCAGGGCCAGGTTCGAAGGCAGTCTGTCATGTGGGACCGACTCCATAACTGCCAGGACACAGGCCTACGCCGTTTTCAAAACTTTCTTTAATTTGCCTTTATTCATTATTATTATTTTCCAATTTGACCAAAGAGAGACAGAGAGAGGGAGGAGGGAAAGTGAGAAAGCCAGCCACCAGGTCCGAGACTTGAACCTCAGCTGGCCACGTGGGAGTCCCGTGCCTTTAAACACCACGGCACCTGCCAGCCTCCCAATTTTCAAATTTTAACTAATGGAAATTCTATAGAAGAATCTAAAGAGCAATCTCCACACTAAGCTTTAAAAACCCAGTTTGGGGTTAGAACTGCATTGATTTGTCTGGAAAGAACTGGGGAAGGTGGGCCGCATTTGGGGTAACAGCGGGAGGTGCTCCGGAGCCTCCCTGATTTGGGCCACTAGCCATGCTGGCTGAGCCGTGTCACACAGCAGGGCAGGCCTCTGTGTGACAGACAAGGCTGCTCACAACTCAACTGTGCCCCTCTGCTTCTGGCTCAGCTGCGGCCCCCCACGTCCTCCCACCCAGGCCTGCACACGCACCTGCCATCCAGTCAGGCCACCTGCTGCTCCCCACCATGGGGCCATGATTATCCTGCGCCCTCTCCCAGCGACGGGCCCTGAGGCTTTGCGCCCTCCCTCCACCCCCACAGCATGGATGAGGGTGAGCAGTGGCTCACGTGTGGTCCGGAGCACGCAAGTACCTGTTCTGAATTGGCCGTGATGGGGCCGGTCATGCTCAGAGCCGGGGCCTGTGGAGCGGAGTAGGGAGTAGGAGAAGATGAAGAATAGGAGCCGACGCTCGTCCTCTGCTGGGACTGGGGCCTGGGCATGGTCGCGGCTGGATCCACTTCTGGGACACTCTGGCAACAGCAAAGTCCTCTGTTCACATGGCTGCCTGTGTGGCTGGGCCTAGCACCCGCACCCTCACCCCCACGTCACCAGCTCCCGTCAGCACGCCTGTGCAGGGGCCAGAGGCCCAGGCCTACTGCTGTCCTGGGGTGGCTGTGGGCCTTCTGTGCCCAGTCCCTCCATCCTTGTGGGGCTGCCACTGGTTCCTCCTGTCTGCCACACAGGGAGGGTGAGACAGACAGACAGACAGACAGAGGCGGCACTGAGCGTGCTCTGAGAGCATCTTGGTCATGTTCCTATTATCAAGACCACCCCGGGATTTCGTGCAGGGAGGGTTGTTATTAAGTTTTGCTAATCACGAATCCTTATTTGGTTCCGTAAGATTGTATTTTGGCCTTTACAAATAGACTAATATAAATAGTAATTATGCAATTTACCAAATGTTCTTTGTAATTATAGGAGCGACGACACTGCTCTGTGTCATTATTAGGAGAATAAAACAGGTTATGTTTACTCCACGAAGCTTGGTCGTGGTTCGCAGGGACCGTGAGGAGGCTAACGCTCTGGAAAGTGCAATTCCTCGTGCCTTCCTTTGGACAAGCTCCCAAACACGAGCTCTTGTGTATGCATGGGAGGTGCGCACAGGCGTGAGGGCCTGCTCCAGGCCCCAGCTCAGAGGTACCGCCCGCGGACCCTGGCATTTTCCTGGCTCTCCCTATGCCAGGGGAGGGACTAGCTTCCCTGCAAGGCCCGGGGGGCACTGCCTGCATGCTGCTTTTTTTTTTTTTTTTTGAGAGGTTTTTTTATAGGTGCGTGCGCTCGCCAGAAAGACAGAGACAGAGAGACAGAAAGAGAGAAATTACCCCCCAGGAGGGATGGCCATGCCGCAATCCCCCATTCTCCTCTCGGGATCCTGGGCACGCACGCACACGTGCCTGGCGTGAGTTTAAACCACTGGGTCCGGGACTCAAACCATGGTTGACTACATGGGAGTCCAGTGACATAGCCATTAGGCCAACTGCTGGTCCCCCCTGCATGCTTTTACTTCTGCAGCGCAGAGGTGCCCTTTCCCTAAGAGCTTGAGTGGGATGTCCCTGAATGGGCCTTCCCTGGGCTTGGAGTCCCAAGGCTGATGGAATTCCAGGATGTCCGGACTGATGCTGAATGCTCATGGCTCAAAACAAATGTTAGATACATTTGCTTCGCGCAGCTGCAAAAATGGGAAGCTGCTCTGGGCGCCTCCCTGAGGGACACGGCCCACTGTGTGGTGCTCTGAGGGAATGAGGGGCAGAGTCCCGCAGATTCCACAAGCCTCTGAAAGCAGGAGCTAATGACCCTCTCCGGTTGGCTCCGCCCAAGCAGCCATTTCCTTGCAGGCCGAACTGACCCCTCTATTATGTCCCTCCACAGTCAGTGTGAAAACGGGGAGACTCTGCCGCCACTTAATCACCAGTCAGCCAGCTGTCTCCTGCACTCCCCTTGTTATTACAAAGAAATGCCCTCAAGCTTTAAGAAAGCATGATGACAAGCTGAATAATTCAAACGGAGCAGCAGAAGGGTGGTGGCAGCGGCTTGGCTCACCCCTACCCCTACCGCAGTGGGTATTTCTAGAAAACGCCAGCTGGAAGCTCACCCGCTGTGGTGTGTGTATGGGAGACAGAGCGTCTAAGTCCGCCATGGGGAATTCAACCCCTTTCCTCTTCAGTTCCTCGTAGATGTGCACCACGCCGGTGAGGTCGGGGCTGCTGCGGAAGGCATCGGCCCACGCCTGGCAGGACAGAAAGGACCCGTTAAGCATTTCTCACGCTGTCGGCTGTCACAGGGCCTGAAAGCCCGAAGCAACCACATCCTCTCTGAGGCCAGCACTCTCCTAGCCCGGAATGCAAATGGCCCTGGCAAAGCCCCTCCATTCCTCTTCTGCAACCGCTGCAATGACATGGCTGGCCAGACCCTGCTTTCCCTTTATTCCCTCCCCCACAAGCAACTTCTGCTATAGGGTGCGTACACTCGCCAGAGAGACAGAGAGAGACAGAAGGTGAGAGATCAACCCCAGGAGGGATGACCACGTCACAATTCCTTCTCCATTTTCTCAGGATTTGGGGCACGCACGCACACATGCCCGGCGTGAGTTTTAAGTCGCCAGAGCTGGGACTGGGACTCAAACTGCGGTCGACTGCGTGGGAGTTTAGCGACATAACCATTACACTATCTGCTGGTCCCCAGACCTGCTTTTCAATGGTGCTGATGAGCGTGAACAAAAACACAAACCTTAATTCAGCATGTATTTCCTTGGAGAAGAGACAGAGAAATAACACCTAAGCACCGTGGCGCATCCTAAGATGCAGACATTTCCCTAATCGCAAGGAAATCAATTGCCGAGCTGTCTGGCAGAACGGAGTGGGAGGCGGGGCCTCATGCCTGTGACAGGACTCCCTTCCTCAGTGCAGGAGCAGGTGGGTGTGCACACACGTTCATCACACCTGTCCCGAGAGCTTCCGTCAGTGAGGCGGGGCTCACAGGCTAACTGAGCAGAGGGGAAGACGAAGCTAATGGCAACATGACATAAAGGCTCACACTAGGTTTCCCGGTAGGTCAGAGGCCCTAAGCCGAGAATGCCTAGGCCAGCCCAGCCACATGGCTGGCAGGTGAGCTGACCATGGCTCACACTGGGGGCCAGCTGGGGGGAACTCACCCCTGCACACCCCACAGTTCTGCTCCCAGCTCCAAGTCCTTCCTTCCTACGATGTTAACAAGCAGGTGACCAAATAGAAAAAAAGACAATGGAAAACACAACCGCTGTATTCCCTTAAATGAGAGCACCGCACATGGGATCGGCAGGTGGTGTGGTGGTTAGGGGCGCTGGACTCCCACATGGTGGACCATGGTTCTAATCCCAGGCCTGGTGGCTTGCTTTCTCATTTTTTTCCCTCTCTCTCTCTCTCTCTCCCTCTCTGATCAAATTAAAAAATACAGTTAAATAATTTTTTTGGAGAGGCTTTTGCTATAGGGCATGTGCGCTTGCCAGAAAAACAGAGAGACAGAGAGACAGAAAGCGAGAAACTACCCCCCAGGGGGGATGGTCACGTCGCAATCCCTTCTCCTCCATTCTCCTCTCAGGATCTTGGGCACGCACGCACACATGCCCAGCGTGAGTTTAAGCCACCGGGTCCAGGATTCGAACCACGGTTGACTACATGGGAGTCCAGCGACATGCTAACTGCTGGTCCCAAAAGTTAAATAATTAAAAAAAAAAAAGAAAGCACCACACACACAAGAAAGAGTAAAAAATCCAATAATTATCATTTCTGTTGACTCATGACTCTTTCAGAAAAGTTTTTAAAGAATATTCTGTCCTTTAGAAGTTACAGAGTGACCAGAGGCGAAGCCTAGTTGTTTCCGAGCTGTGCCGGCCACCATATGTACCTGGAGGAGCAGGACCGCTCGTACCCATGGCTCCATGGCCACGTCTGTGACCTTCACGGTGTTTAACTGCCCCTAGGCTCGCTCAGTGCGTCCTGGCCAGTCCTGAGCAGCTCCAGAAACCCGTCTCTAGCAGCGGATGCGTTCGAAGGTGTAATGTGTTTCCAAAGCCTGCTTGATTACGACCAGTGCGTCTTGCTTACTACAAATAGCACTGTCAGCCTGGTCCCTCCGTGCATGGGTTTAATTTGCATACTCAGGGCTTTAACGCCAGGGCATCAGGGCTGCCCATCCTGGCCAGCACTCCCTTCTGGATGGTGAGCAAGGCTGAAGGGCCTGCAGGGGCTGTCGGGAAGGTCCAGCTGGGCAGCCATGCTGCCATGGGTTGCCCTATTCCTCATACCAGGGAGTGCCCGGAGCCCCATCCCATCGGCTGCGTTGGCCGTCTCTGCCTGGTTCAGCCTCCATCTGAGGTCTGCGACTCCAGCTTCAAATGCTACAGCACTTCAGTTTTCGGTCTCAGCTCAAGAGTGCAAAGACCAGCTCCAATGCCTGCTGAGGGAGGCCAGGGGAAAGCTTGGCAGTTCCTTCTGGTGCCCTCATGCCTCCAAGAATGCCTTCAATGCATCCTGCTCTCTCCCTAAGCCAAACCGGAAACACTAAGAATGGAGACTAAAGGAGCACAGCGATCTCTCCAGTAAGCTAGTACTTCTTGGGGCCCCACTTTTTTTTAAGTTTACTTATTTATTTGCTACATAAGCAAGAGAGGCAGAGAAAGACAGCACCCCTAACTTGATGGGGTGGGCCTTGATGCCACCAACTGCCCTCGCCTCGACCACCAGGATCATGTGCACACAGGCCCAGCAAGTCAGGGAGGCCTCTAGACACAGACGGGACTCGTGTGCGCGAGCCTTACAGACTCACAGTCACTGCTGCCCTCCTCCCACCCAGCCCTGTCACCGTGTCCACTGAAATGTGCCTGCACCTTGGAGAGCGGAGGGGAGCGGAGCCAAGCCATTCTCCTCCCAAGGGCTGGGCCCTGGGCCTCAGGGGCGGTGGGCCATTCTCTTCAGGGAGGTGAAAGTGTCTTCTTAAGTGTGGGCCTGCGAGGCAGGCAGGTACCAGCCCGGGACCAGGGAGCAGAGACAGCCCATGCCCTCAAAAGGGACAGCTGGTGTGCCGAGAGGTGCAGACACATGGGAGGGACGAGGGGCCCTTCCTGATCCGCTGTCTCCGACCAGGCCCAGCCATACCCCTGGTCTGGGGACCTGGGCTTCCAGGAGGCTCGTCTTATCATGACGAGCCCTCCCCTCTGCCCAGGCAAGCTGGAGCTGGCATCTGTGGCCTGCACTGAAACAGTCTCGGCTAACGCCCAGCGAGCACCTGCCACATCTCCAGCCGCTGTGAGGGGCCCCCGACAGGTCTGAACGCACGTTCTGACGGCCATCTCTGTGAGCAGCTCAGTGCCAACAGGAGAACACACGGGGCTTTAGAGGCCCTCACATGTGAGAGAGACGGGAAAAATCCAGAGAAGCTGTATGTCCCTAGGACCTCCCTGGGACAGCCCAGATACCTGTGTGCCTGTCTCCCCACGCCAGGTCGGACACCCTCTCTCGTGTCTCTGCACAGAACAGGCAGTCGGCCAACGTCTGCCAGGCTGAGCTCAGTTCTCATGGTTACTAAGCATCCCTGTTTTCCTACTTCAGAGCACAGAAAAAGATGGCCATTTAAGCTGTCAACGTGAAGTGACAGTGACAAAGGAGGAGTCCCTCTGGATGAATGACCCAGCTGAGAATTCTCCCTTAGGAGGTCTGGTCCACTCAGAGTCCTGAACCTGAAACCCAGGAGCGGCAGAGAGGGTGGGAGAGGCTGCCTTATCAGACAGCGAAGTGACACGGCAGCACGGCACCTGCGGAGGGTCCTGTCACCAGAGCCGGCCAGCTAATGACCAAATAGCCACGGTTTTATGTAATTCCCTATCTTCCTGCCTGTGGCTACAGGATCAGTTGAGAGAGCTAGAAGAAGGTCTGATGGCGGGAAAAGGGCACTGACGTTCGTGCCCGTATCTCCTCCACTGCTTTGGATCAACGCTAGATGAAAACCTAACGCACAAGGGAGCCCTGTCCTGTTCACTTCCATAGCTCTCCACATGTTGACAGGTGTTTTCCTTATTAGTTTTTTTACATTCAATCACATATATCTTTTACAACATTGAAATGAATTTTCCCAGCACGAATATGCTATGTGTTAGTCCAGCTGAGGACAGTTCTGAATCATCAAATTTCAGATCAATAAACAATTGCCGGTTTACACTGGGTTTTAGGATGCCTTTAGACAAAAAGAAGCTTCTGTTAGCTCATGTTTATGCCCCCCACGCCCCAGACTTCCTGTTCCCAGAGGCAGGTCTGCAGGGAGCCAGGCATCCACTCCGCGCCTGGCCAGGGAACCAGCCACCAGGTCTGACAGAGCATGAGACCCCAGCTCCCCCTGACACAGCCCCCACCCCACCCCGGTCAGCTCGCTGTCTTCAGTGCAATAAAAACCCTTCAGTGGAAAGGGAGTATTTTTAGCCTTTGCTGGGGCACGGGGTGGGGCAGGGAGCATGACCAGGCTGAGGTTTCTCTACCAGGATGACACCATTTCTGTCCTGAAAACACCTGCAAGGGAAAGGCTGATGGCACAGAGTGGCACATCCTTGTCGTCTCAACCAGGAAGACCTGCGGTGAGGAAGGGCCAGAAGACCAGCTAAGGGACTCCGCGGAAGCGGTGAACGCTAACGCTGCGGAAGCGGAGCCTTCGGCTGTCCCAGGGTGGGAGTGGGCACAGCTGCTGAGCTCCTCTGCACACATCTCCCTCCCGCCCCACCAGGGGCCCGGCTCCATCCACGGGCAGACGCCTGCAGAGGGTGTCAGCTGAGCCCTGGCACTTGAGATAAGTAAGTATTCCCAGAGCCCCGCTGCTCCTGATTCACACCCCGGCTGGGTCTCCAGGAAAGCAGAGGCTGTCCCGGGGCCTTCGTAAGGGCAGGGCCCTCTATAACGCACGAGCCTAAGGAGGGGACGGCCAAAGGACAGCCAGAAGACAGAACACCTCGACGAGGGGAGCACGGGGGTGCAGGAGGGGAAGGAGAGGCAGACAGTGTGGGATCCTCTGTGGCGGCTCAGGGCTGCTGATGGCGAACATGTGCTACTGGGAACGCCGCTGTGTGGCCAATAGGCTGCCCGTGCCTGTGCTCAGCACTCGAGGAAGGAGAGCAGGGGACAGTGGGCTCGGGCAGGCAGGCGAGGACAAGCCACCACCATCCCCTGCAGGCTCAGGAATTTTGGAGAGCTGCTTTGGAGCCCAAAC